GCAGGGAGGTCGCATATTTCTTGTTGGAAAAGCGAAGCCGGCGGGAACATGTCAGCGATAGTGCGCTTTAGTTGGGTCCCAGTTAGCTCCGGGGTTGTTTCTAGGAACCGAATTGAGGAGATGAGGCCTTTCTGGGCACTCGTAAGCGCACCCAACGCGTCGTTCGTTATGCCTTTCATGAATGTAACCAGGGGTTCGGGTGGTGACGAGTCGGAATGCTGTCCGCTCTCAGAAGGCCCTGCTCCCTCGTGGGAGGGGGGCGGGAGCATGCTGCGGATCGCAGGGTAACTAATCGGGATTTAGTTAATAGTTCCTTTAAGAACAAGGGCAAAAAATCAGCACTGAGTCGATCTATGATCGGTTGACCTTGTCAGGGTCCGACCCTCGGCGCCTGCAGCTCTTGCAGGTAGAAAAGGTCCGACCTTTGGCGCCCGAAGCCTGTCCGAGTCAAGTAACGACTTCTGCAGTCTACCCACTCTTGCGTTACCAGAGTGGACGCGATGATCCGTACGAAACGTCCACACCAGCCAGTATACAAGCCTCAAAGGGTGTCTAGTTTCTTGCGGGACGCTTGCGCGACGGCCAGTTCAGCGATACCACCCCAACCTACTCAGTGCACAACACCCCAGAGGATTCCCACCCCCGGAAACACCAGACCACAGAGGGTCGACACCGTTATCCGCCCTAAAAAGGATCGGTGGGGTTCCCTGCCGGAGAGGTTCACACTGCCGGTTCGAGTTGCCTGCGTCGCGTCACCGGGTATTAATGCCGGGTCAACCGCTCTCGAGCAAAGTAAGGGCAGTACCACGTCCCTAGCCTCCACACATCTCAACGACCAGGCCTTCAGTCCCTTCCAACAATAACCGAGACCCTATCGTTACTCCCAAACCAACGATGCGATGCGCACAAAAAAAACAGAGCGTGCAGGCTCACCGACCTCAGGACAGTAGAGGCGGGCGACAGCGAGCGGCAGCGGCGGTCGGCAGCGAGCGCCGGCGGGCGGCAGCTAGCTGCAGTGAGTTTGGGGTCGGCTGTTCTGCTGCAATGTGATACCAGGCGCAGTGCAGAGTGTTGACGAGCTGTCGGCGGAGGAAGCAGGCGGCCAGGTAGTACAGACCGGAGCGGCTGTAGGTCGGCAATGTGGCGGCAGGCAGAACGAAGCGCTGACGAGAGACAGCGCGGCAGCAGGCACCGGCGCGACTGCGGGGGAAATGTGGGCAGCGTGGCCCGGACAGCAGCAAGAGCGGCGGGCGACGGCGCGGCAATGGGGCCAGCGGCGGGGC